CCTAATGGGGACGTTTAGCGAAAAATGAAAGGTTGCATATTGTTCAAAACATCATTTTGAACATCTTTTGTTCAATATTACTTATCAAAATATTTCTCACTCTTGAGATATAAAGTGTCAAAGATTTAGCCTTCTGGCCCCTTGTGGCCCCTAATTATGTACCATACGTCATAAAAATTATAATATATAGCTGTAGATTGTTGAGATAAACATTTTTGCTTCAGTATTATATTACAAAATATTAACTGATAAAGAGTTATCGATTAAAGACTTTTGGCCCCTTTCTGCCCCTAATGTGATGAGTCAGCATTTTTTTCTTGATATCATTTGAAAGATCTCGTTGTTCTGCACAAATGATGTTCAGTATGTTCTTACAAAATATTTATACTTTAAAAGATATGATGCAAAATGTCTCCAAAAATCACTCGTGATTCGTGTCCTAAATTTTGACCCCTACCGAGCTTCCATACTAGATACTTCCGGAAACTATCCAAACTCCCAGTAACATGGGGACATGTCCTCTATCATCACTGAAAATTTCAGCGCTCTAGCTCAAGCCGTTTTCGAGAAAATGAACGGACAAGGAGGTCCTCTGAATTTTGATAAAAGGGCGATAACTCTAGACCGGAAGTGATTTTCACAACATCCTTCAGCCGGTATAAACTTCAGATTATCCTACAACATCTCTGAAAATTTGAAGCAAATCCATCCAACCATCTCTGAGAAATCTTCTGCACAAAATTTGTGCAGAAAAAAAGAATAATAATAATAATAAGAAAAGTGAAAAAGAAACATAAGAATAATAGAAGGGTCTTCCGCTGAAGACGGAAGACCCTAATAATAATAACTAGTGCTAATTGTAACGGGGACCGTTACAGATGTTCCCCAAACGCTCCCCAACTCTCTTTTGGTGCCATATTCCCAGTAAGCTTCGTTAAATAGGACAAACTCGATGCATTTGAGACTTTAACAACGTTTACCCAGAAGTGTACAAAGTTCATTCAAATTTTAGCATTGCACGCGTGCGCATGTGAATGCATGTATGACGTCATGGCCATATCATCTTGTCTACACAATCTATATATTTTAATATACTAAATATCTAAATATTAAAGTATTTATTCCAAAAGTATTAAAAAGATACGCTCATTCAAGTGTTTTTTTGATTTTGCTCATTTCACATGCACGCACGTGCATACATGAGCATGGTGACCATATTTTCTTGTAGATGTCCGTTACATCTATCTATGTTCTAAATCTCACCTCGTTTGGTTGAAAACCAAGGGAGTTATAGCTGTTTAAAGTTTCAGCCAATCAGATTGCAGCGCACGTACATGCACGTGTATACATGTGCATGGTGACCATATTTTCTTGTAGTAGTCCAGTATATCTATCTATGTTCCAATTCCCATCCTGTTTGGTTGAAAATCAAGGGAGTTATAGCTATTTAAAGTTTAAGCCAATCAGATTGCAGCGCACGTGCATACACGTGTTTTCATGATAATTGCTACATATCATGTTGTAGGATATCATAATACATGGCAATTTTCAAAATTTCAAAGGATTTCGTCAAAAAACAAGAAAGATATTGAGACTTTAGTTTCAGCCAATCAGAGCAAAGCGCACGTGCATGCGCGTGAGATTTTGCTATTTTGACCATGTCATATTGTCTATGCTTCTAATATATCCTTATATTATAGGTTTCAAAGCATTTCATCAAAAATTTTAAAAGTTACGCCTATATCAATTAAATCAGTCATTTCACATGTTGCACGTGCACGCTCTTGCAAGCAGGTGCTCGCAAAATGACCTTCGTTCCGCAAATCTACATAACATGTCTACTGACCCTAAAAACATTTCACCTTAGTCGGATGTATACTTTACGAGATCATTCCCGGACAAAAAAGTACCCAGGAAGAAGAAGAAGAAGAAGAAGAAAAATAATAATAACTAGAAACGATCTCGTTGCGAGCAACGAGTAGGTCTTCCGTCCGATTCCGAAAAATAACCCATAAAATCGAGCTGAAAATGGATTAAACATATTTTGGACACATTTGAAATTGAAACGGGTCACTAGCGTGAAAATCCAATACGCTTATCGATTACGCTATTGAACAACTACTCTTACTTCACTTATATGTACATATAATTCTGCAACAGTTAATCTGTCTTGGAATTATGAAAGAAGGGTCACTATTCATAATTTCGCGCCAAACGCAACGAGTAAATCTTAGTGAATTTCTCTTGGAATGTTCATTTAAATAGGTGAGATAGCTTCAATCAAATAACAAAAGAGCGTTCTTATCGCCTAAATTTTGAGGTGTGGAAAGTATAACACACACATGAAACATATCGTATATAGGCAAATAACACTAAAGCAGCGAAAAAGCTATTAATTGGTAATTTTTCAATTTTCAATCACGAAAGTTGACTATGCCGATTACTTACACTTTCATGAAAAAGGTGGTATGTTTCACCGACAAAAATGCCTCGATCGCCCTACGAGGGTCAAGAAATAAGATTCTATTATCTTCAAAAACTTGCATTGAGAAAATAAAATGTTTATATAGGTCAATTAAACGGTCTTTGAAAAATTGTTATCTTTAAGAATAAAATATTTTCTTATTGTAACAGTTGTCCTTTCTATTGATTTAATATGACACAAGTGTGCATGGGAAAACAGTGGTCACGTTTTTTACCTACTACATTCTTGAAAAACTATTAATTTTAACTATGATTTAAGCTATGTGTTACCGTTATGCAAAACAAAAGATATAGATATTGTACTTCGTTTGGACATTAATTCTTTTCTATTTCTACTTTGAGAAACAACCAAAACCAATGAAAGAAGACTTGTAAGTAGACCTTGGATAATAAATGTAGTTTGACACCGAATTGCAACGAACCTACGACGTGACAATCCAAGTATCCCTTCACATTTCATTGTTCCTTATGTAACTTTCGTTCAAGCAAACGCTCGGCTGCCTCTGTAAACCCCTATTGCGAAATGTCGGAATTGACAGAGACCGCCGCCATTAAGATCACGCTTCAGACTTTTGAATGTTAATATCTCGAGTTCAAATTCATCAATTTACAAACAAATTATATATTCAGCCTAATGAGAAATGTTTCTATCAACCATACTAATATGATTTGAAAATATTGAAAAACAAAAAAGTTTAAAAATTTGACTTTTTTCTTTGCATGCCGTTACGACAGGAAGTAGAGACGACGTACAAAAGATCGCGTCTTCGATAGTTCTTATCACGATCTATAATTCCTGAAAGTTCCACAGTGATATCTTTAACCGTTCTATAGATTATCCACGAACAAAATGTCAATTTAAAATCAGATAATTGTCCGTAACTTGGCACCAGAAAGGAATTTCCAAAAAATCTCCAGGATATAGTAACTGCAGATAGCAACACATTGTTCCTGCAAATTTCATAAAAATCCATGCAGTAGTCTTCGAGAAATCACGTGCACAAAATTTGATGGTCAGAAATATTATAATTATAATGAACTCAGGCGAGCTCAAACGCCTTTTGCGTTGGAAAGATATAGACTCAAAAAAGCAATTTAGCAATCCTTCCTCTACCTTCACTGAAAATCTCAAGTCAATATCTTCATTCGTTTTTTAGTGATTGCCCGGACAAGCTGACCCTCTTAAAATCAGTAAATCGTCCATATCTCACGACCGGAAGTGACGACGTACTTATAAAAAATTTCCAATAAGGTTCAGACCAATATATATCAGATCTGAAAGTTTCGTGAAAATCGACCAAGCCGTTTCCGAGAACTCGCTTGCACAAAAATCGGTAAGAAAAAAAATAATAATAATAATAATAATAATAATAGGGAAAAAGAAACCGAACGAAAACAATAAGGTCTTCCGTTGGAAACGGAAGACCTTAACTAGATGCGTTCTTGTTGCTAAAGCAACAAGCGGTCTTCCGACCGACTTTTCGTTAGATATCTATGCTGCGTCATCCCATGAAATAGGTTTCAGAATGTATTTTTCCCTTTACATTCATTTACAGCAGTCTCTCAACATATATCATGATTATTACAGAAAAACCTCAAAATATCTTTAAATATAGCTTTCAAAAATCGGCAAAATATTTCATACATGTTATAAAAAGTGAGAAAAGTCATTTACAATTGAAAAATGATAGAAACAAAGAAAAAATTTGGGAACGCCCACGGCGGGATTCGAACCCCCGACAGTGGGACAAAGTTTGGTTCGATCATATCTTTTCAATAAATGCACGCATCAAGATTCTGAATACATATTTAGAATTCTCATAAGACACACTATAAACCCTGTAAATCAAAAAGAAAAATATTGAAAAACAAAAAAGTTGAAAAATGAGACTTTTTGAATTCACTTCCGTTTACGACCGGAAGTGCAGACGACGAAAAATAAAGGTCGTTGCCCATAATGGAGTTCGATGTTCTATCACCTCAGTGAGTTTCACTTTCATATCTTTAGCCGTTCTCGAGAAAAATGCTGGACAAAATGCCTTTTAAAAAAAACAAAAATCCCCAAAAATCGCGAACAAAAGTGAATTTCGAAAAAATAAAAAACACGTCTGGAGATATTCTCATGATGCATCATCCCTGTGAAAATCTTTTAAATCCATCCACGCACAGCTGAGATATCGCTCTAACTATGAAAAAAAGAATAATAATAATAATAATAAAAAACAGACGAATAACAATAAGGTCTTCCGAAGGAAGTCGGAAGACCTTAATAAGAAACAGAGTAAAAACAATATGTTCCCCAACTTCGTTTGGGGAACATAATAAGAAACAGAGTAAAAACAATATGTTCCCAAACTCCGTTTGGGGAACATAATAATCTTTACCAACAGAATCAGTAGAAGGTCTTCCGTTTGAAACGGAAGACCTTAATAACTGATATCCGATATTTGTTAGTAGAACTATATAAAACTTAGTAAAAATATTTAAATCATTATTAATGATTTGCAAATTTGTAGGAGATTCTATTACAAATGCCAGTAGCGTTGGGACTGACGGAACTATGGATGGGATGCCATTCACAACATACGATAGAGACAATGATTTGTATTCCGGAAACTGCGCAGTTGCTTACAGAGGAGGATGGTGGTTCAATCGTTGTTACAGTATCTGTCTGAATTGTCCACGTGACAGTATAGGGTACTACCCACTTGTTCAGAAGTCAGAATTCAATTCATCCATTCTAATGATCACACGAATTTAGCTATATTTCAGGGAACAATTTGGTTGTAATTTTCCCCTTTCATTTTTTATGTGAGTTTTTGTTTTTACATTAAAATAACAATATTTACTGTTGACATTTATTTTTCCTGTTAAGTATGTAATAATATGGTGGCATACTTATGCCAGCCATATATTTTTTTTTTCAAAATAAGATATCTCAGTAAAATCCACCTATGATGTCACTGTTTTGATTAATCTCTCTATTATCTTTTAGGAATGGAGAGTTACATATTACATTAAAAACAAAATTTGTTACGTTCGTATCATCCTTACTGTGTGCCTCTACCGACGAAAGAACTTTATCAAGTTTATTTTCACATAAACTAAAAGAACACTATGGTTTCCAAGGTGAAGATCGAACCCGGTATCTCAACATTTGGAGTCGGGTACTCATTTCCCTGAGCTATCGTAGCAGTTGAAACGGATTGGCTTAGAATAAATTCAGTACAGTTTTCTCGCCTTAATTTCCATAGTATATATGAATTGAATACTAGTATTACTTATATGTATTATTTAAAGGTACTTGGACACAGATTTAAAGTCAATATTTTCTCTATAATATTACGACTTATATATTTTAACAGCATTTCACACAAAAATTAATTAAAAATCTTATTTTATTTGAAAGTTATCAAAACTACAAATTTTTTGGCGGGTTTGATTGACACATCCTTGCACTTTAACAAATTTTAACCATATTCTTAATCCTTAGGAAAAGTGGCAATCTTGTTGTGTATTAATGAGAAATATTAAAACTTTATCCAGAAAAATAATTTTATTCAGAATAGAAATATGAGAAAGCAAAACTCCTTCACAAGTATCGTCATTCCGAACTGAGAGCTGCGTACAGAGTTTAGCAAATCGAGCACACTCATGTTATGTACACAGTTTTTGTAAACAGGGCACGAGTTCTGTTATTGTTTATGTTTACAATTCACCGGGTGCGTTCAATCGTCACACTCTGCTTACCACAACTGCACGGACTGACAATATATTGTGTTTGTTTTGCTTTCGAACATGTCCACTCTGAATTTTCTGGATTAAAGTATTAATATTTTTCATTTATACAAAACGAGATTGCCACTTTTCCTAGGGATTAGGAATAAAATTAATTTGTGAAAGTGCAAGGATGTATCAATCAAACCAGCCAAAAAATTTGAAATTTTAATATCTTTTTTATGAAATAATATTTTCAATTAATTTTTGTATGAAATGCTCTTAAAATATATAAGTCGTAATATTATAGAGAAAATAATAACTTCAAATCTGTGTTCAAGTACCTTTAAAGAACAAGACTAGTTCTGTATCTTAGATATACAAATTTGGTGGCGACGAGTGCGTAGCAAGATTTTTAACTACATTTGAACGATAGTTACATAGAACCTGTCGAGTTTTCTTAATGATTTGTGATACGATCAATCAAAGAAAATAGCTCCGCCTACTCTATAACTTTGCAGTATCCAAACTTCCGCCACCGTTATGTTGATGAGGCCCCAATGGTGAGTACGAATCTGCAGTATATATGTTTATTTCAGATTCCCTATAAATCAAACAAACAATATGGATGTTACTTTGCTTGTTTAATATGGCGCTTCTGGCCTCGGTGATAATTTGCTGGGTTTACCACATGGCTGCCCCACAATCAACAATCAATACAACAAATGTGACCACCCAAATCGGGCGGATCATGCACTGGGTAGGTCACAAGTGCATGAACGTCACCAATTCAATAATCAATCAAATTCAATCAATCAATTATAATCAATCAGACAATCAATCAATCAATCAATTCAAATATCAATCAAGTCAATTACTTGTTAGTCAATCAATTATTAATCAATCAATCAATTCAAATATCAATCAAGTCAACAAACAATGGAATGAGCGTAAGAATATGTGTTGCACTCGTCCAATTGCGTTGAGGTGCGACGGTATACGCCACTTGCAAGGGCCACGACTACTCGTGTCTACTACGACTAATCATGGAACTGCAACCGCCACCAATGGGGTGCCAAGAACCATGGTGACGGCGGCAGTACCTCAACGCAAATGGTCACCGTCGACCAGGGCCTGCTCATTCATCAGTACAAACTTACAGGAAAGGAAATTACACGTTTTGAAAAATGGAGTCGAGGGCTTGTCAGTATAAGACAATTTCATTTACTCTATATAAACACTGTTGATACTTACCGGCTCTGTATTTTTTAATTGGTTACCTGTATAAATTACCTAACAGGCTATCCTTCTTTTTATTACTTTCAAATCATTTGAACACCTCTTACCATGTTTCCTTGCGTGTCAAATATAGAACTTAGAAAAAAAAATTTTTGCAAGTGTTGCTCATAGTTGTTCTTAAAGTTTTCTACTGAACATACCCAAATGGCATACCCAAATTGGAAAAGGAAACGATACTGTCACCTTTAAGCTTAAGGTACTAAAATACTTTAAATAATAACAATGTGTTTCCCAATACAACTCCCGAAAATATCCTTTTATATACCTATTTGTATAAATTAAGACCCTACTTCACCATTTATGAACCAACTATCATTAGTAAAAAAAGAAAATAGAATACCAGTAAAGAATGTAAAAATATGTAAAGACATTGTAATAATATTATAAATGCATAAATGATATACTTTTGAAGCCAGCTCTTCTCAAAACTAAATAACCTCATCCTCCCCTGTTGCAATTTGATTGGAAATGTGCAGCAGTTGCTTCCCTAATTGAAGTAAACGAGATTAAATATTTTATCCTACAAAAATGACAAATGTATATTATAAACTATTTAATACCATATATTTACATTTGCAAATGTTTTCTTCTACTGAAAGCAATGTGTATCTATAACTGTATAAATACCGGTACGGGGTCAAGAGGTCATAGATGTGCGTAAGGATAAACGTTCGACGTAATTTCTCAGCGACGTCATAAAGGGTCGACGCGCGTTCAGTTGATTACATAAATGCCGTTGAGTTTGAAAAACAATGCATTTCACACGTTAAAAGTCACAATCATGCAAATATAAAGTATGAATAAGTCACAAATGTAAATATAAGTAATAAGGTATCATTTTAAAACATCTATCGGGCTATAAATACGGGTCGGTACGAGATTAAATTCATCATAAAGCCCTTCGGGCTTTATGGAATTTAATCTCGTGACCGACCCGTATTTATATCCCGATAGATGTTTAAAAATGATACCTTATTTCTTAAATACATGAAGGTATGAGCACCCCCTGCCCTGTTGACCTGTCACATACACCGTGTGCTCCTTATCAACGGTAAAAAGCGGGAAATTCCTGTCACAGTTCGGTGTAAAAGTGATGCTACAACAATAAGTATATAAAAAAACCTTATTCCTCTTAATTACATGTATATATTGTATTGGCAAACAAAGTCATTGCATGGGCCAAACATGTCATAGCTTTTGTGACTTTGCATGTTTTTCTCTTTTTGAAAACAACATAAAATAAGTTATAATCTGATTAAAATATAAAGATCCCGACTCAAAATTCATTCAAGCAATACAAATCTGGAGCAGACCAAATACACAAGAGATGGGGTGAGGTTTCATTTAAATTTACGCGTTATTTTGTATTTTACCTTGTATTACATGTAATTTATCTTTTTATCAATTTATTGTAGCCTCATGTAAAACCTACGATGTTAGTTGCATGGTCTGGACAGGGGGGGGGGGGTCAGACATTAAAAAGGAGGGTGTTTATAAATGGAAGCATTCAAATAGAACATTCCAGTTCATAAAATGGAATCCACAACAACCAAGTATAGCTAGACCAGAATTTGCAAGCTTTGAAGACTGTTAATCTTTTACATGTATCTGCTGGCGATTGGAACGACGCGCCTTGTGGCTTAAACCTTGATATCCTCTGTGAAAAGTCTCTTTATTCTCAATTTTGTGTAACGTTTACATGATGTTTTTGATTTGTTAAACATCAGCTGAATGTTAAATTAAATTTTAACATTAAATAAAACAATTAAATCATTATATTAATTTTAAATAAATGAAACTAATGCTGATTGTAACTTAATGATTTCTTTTCATTACCTTTACATTGAATTATTATTGATTGGTATCGGTGAAAAAGTAACATAGAAGTAAATTAAGGGTTATAGGACAAAGGTATTAAATGAAATTTCAGGTTCAATTTAAACAAAAATATGAGAGACTTATGCATGTTTTGTCCCTAGTTTTGGGTTTTACTTAAAACAGTGCAATAATACATAATGAAAAAGACACGTTATCATACTGGTTGTAACATCAGAATGAACACTGATATTATACACAGAAGTCGCTTTTTTAGTAACATTTCAGCAATTTTAAAGCAGATCATGGTTCAGCACATGATACAGTCTGTGACTCTCATTGTACGATTAAAGCGATCCTTTTGATATAATCACCTGTGATATGTAGGAACCGTATAATCACCAAAACAGCTAACTTCAAGCATTCTCAGTTAAGTTATACATGTATTTGAACATAATTGTAATTTGTTTAAAATGTTGCCATGAATTGTAAAGAATAAAAAGGGCTTTGCTAAAGTCAATGACGAATTCTGGCCAGGTACGGTTTTGATTTTTTTTACACTACAATTTACTTTACCAAATGAAATTTTAAATCAAACCTTAAACAACCTTGTCGTTATCTTAACTACTAGTATGTTAAATTTTCAAATGTACTTATAATATTGGTGCAGTTGATGAAAGCTTCCGAATATATAAGTGAATTGCTTCCGACACGATGTCATCCAATAATTGACCAATCCGTAGCTTCAGCAATGACTTTTAAAAAAAATTTAATTATCATGCATTTCAAAATTTGAAGGTGACACACATGCACGTGGCGAGAGTGACGCTATGGATTGGTATCCTTTCTCGCCAGAGAAAACGATTTCTATCAAGATCATATGCGCGGAGCTAAAAATTTGGAAAGTTGGGGATTTATCTAATGTGAATTCTTTTTTTATGCGCCACTTAATTTTACAATGATATTTGGTGGCATCCTTGGCATCGTGAAATTGCGACTTTAAAGACATCCATTCTAATGATTACACGCATTTAGCGTTTAATATTCTTACAATTACGTTTACTTTTTTCTTTTTATTTCCCTTTAATTGAAAAAAGGACCGATAGGCTGTATAAAAATATTTCTCATTAAATTTGAAGATAAGTGTTTAGCCAGTTTGTACTGTTAAAAGTCAAGGCTTTTTGGCATTTGTAGATATAAAATTCTTAAAACAGATCATTCCGTTATTACACATATAAGACAAGGAGCTCATGACAGATGTGACCGGTCGGCAGGGGATGCATGCTCACCCTTTCATGGCACTTGATCCCAACTGTATTTTTTTTGGATGTTTCTATTGCTTTGCTCCAAATTTGTATTGTCTAATTCTTTCGTTATTCGTTATCTCCATATATTCAATTCATGTACATTTTTGCGTTCACCATAATTCACATAATCATATCTACAACACACAAAGTCTTTAAATGACAGAAACGTAGAAGTGCATTAGAGATCGTAATAAGTCATAACGATATGCTATCAGTTGTAAAGGTCGACAGATTGTACAATTCAGAGCTATTAGTTTTGCACAGATCAGTTACAGTGTTCACGGAGTACAATGTTTGTCCCTAACGTATTTTTAGGTACGTATATTCGTTACACAATCATTTTTCCTTGTTTGTTAATATTGACATAATGCTATTTAATACATGTACATGTATTTTACTTTCAGTAATCTTTGTTATACTCAGAGTCAGTACAATTGGTATGTCTTTTACAAGTAGATTCTAAAACTTGATACTAAAGATATTTTCAGATATTTTAAATTGTACAAGAGTCAATGTACTCGTACAGGAAAATAACTAATAATGACTAACGTTGTAAAAGTAGAAATGCTTTTAATTAATTGTATTTTACATTGTATTATTACGTCATTACAAATCATGTTAATTTGCCTGTACTTAAACGTTTCGATAATAAATTTCAATTTAAAGAATACCAATATGTACAACATATTGGAAAAAATAAATATTTGTCGAATATAGATAGAAATTAAATAAAGATTTGAGGTTTTTAAGGAATTTATATTTTTAAGACGCACTGCATTGTCTGAGTTGTACGGCTGTTATTTCTCCAAGACATTGTCATACTATACAAAATGTGACCCAGGAAAGGTAAACAATTTAATTGTTAAAACGAACCTTGAAGATGTTTTTTTTATTTTCATGAAGTCTCCTATATATTGGCCAAAGTCTTCTTTAGACCTATGCTACACAGTTAAGGCATTAAGAACGTTGGGAAATTTTTCACCTAAGAAGTGAAAAATGAAATATACTTGGAAAATATTACTAATATTTTAATAAAAAAATCAAAAATGAACAAAACACACTCAGTAAAGGTTTACAGCTGAAAACAAATTTTAGAATATGTTATATTGGTGCTAAAAGTGTGAAATAAACTTTAGAAAAGTATACCAAGCCAGGTGAATTTGATCAGGAAAAGCAAAATGATAAAATTCAGCATATAAGATATTGCTTATTTCTTGTCATTTTGTTTTTTCTCATTAAATTTGCCTGGATTGGTATACTTTTCTTAAGTTTATATTCACTTACTATAGAGGAATTCACTAAGTTATTTAGAACTTGTTTCTTCTCCTATTGATTGATATCAATGAACTATGTTCAAAACAAAACAAGGGTACACCTCACTATCACAGAAAGAATGGTTTGTCGATGTTTGGCTGTTGAAAACCTTAAATGTGTTCGATGGAAAAGTAAAATAAAAGGAGTACAATGACACTTTACGTGTAACTTAGATTTTGTGAAAGTTTTATTTAATTTCATTCAGTGCTATAAGAAAAGTTGCGGATAATAGATGGGTATCCGAAACTTTACATACAGACGGACAAACATCCCGATCACTATGTATGTACTTGATTCTCAAGTAGTAGAGAGAAAACGTATTGATTACATAGAGTGTCGAATGAATGTTCACACTTTACGTCGCAATTAAAATTTTTCTTTTGGACATTTCGGCAAATACTACTGGACAACTTATATATAAGCAATGATTCATACGAGAAAATGTCAAAAAAAATGTAAGATATAGAACTATTCCTTTTGTAGGTGTGTTTTACCCAGAGGTATACAGGAATTAATGGGGAAGTCTTATTTGACACGGGATGTCACACCCCATCAGTAAGTAATTGTTTGTAAACATATTTCAGTTCAAAGTAAAAAGTCTACGGAAGCCCATTTAGGACCTATCAAAAAAAATTTTGAATTCGATATAATGAATTGTCGAATTTGTTAAAACGAATTTAATTCGATATAACATTTTTTTTGGAATTTGTCATAACGAATTAAATATGCTATAAAAGATATCGTATATTCGTTATAATGAATTCAAAAAAATGTAATAACGAATTAATTTCGTTCAAACAGATTCAAAATTTGTTTGAACACATTCAAATCGTTATTACAATTTTTGAATTCGTTATAACAAATTGAATTTGTGATAACAATTTTGTTGAATTCGTTATAACAAATTCACAATTACTTTTATATAGACCCCAATAGTCGAATTTGATTTATTGACTTTAATTTGTTATAACAATTTTTATAATTTGTTTAAACGAATTGAATTTCGTTTTAACCAATTTAATCTGTTATAACAAATTTTTGAATTCGTTATAACGAGTTTAAGAAATTTGTTATAACAAATTTAATTCGTTATAACGAATACAAAAAATTGTTATAACGAATTAAATTCGTTATAACAAATTCGACAATTCGTTAAATCGAATTCAAAAATATTTTTATAGTTCCTAAATGGGCTTCCGTACAAATCAAATAAAATATCAAAATGTTAAGATAACAAAGAATAAAATATGTGGTTTATGCATTTTCAGTTTGAAATTATAATTGGGAAATATTACTTAAATTTTATCATAAAAATCATAAAAATATAGAACAATATACAATGTATGCCAAAAATATCATTTAAATAAATGTTTCTTTATAAATTTAAAATAGTCATTCTAAATTTCTGTTTCATTTTTTTCTCACTTATATCGTAGATCTGCTTTAAACAGATGTTACCTGGAGCGTTAAGGAGCCATAACCATGCCTATGCCCACACAGAACAGTGTATAGAATGTTGTACCTCTGATGCCTGTAATCATAAAGGATGTGGAGGATTAGGTTTGTTACGAACATTTCAGTCTAATCATCGAAATTTTCTGATGGCATTATCGGGGGACAATTGAAAAGAATTGAATTAATTTTTTTATCAGCCAAGCAATTATCATGTCTATTTCATGGATCTTGGTGAACTACAAATCACAGCCCTACATTTCAAGATTAATAATAAGCAATGTGTTTTATCAGTTAAAGTATTCTTAAGAAAGTTTCAAGTATTGATTTTATTACCATCTTCTCTATCAATCCAGGAAAACCTCAAGCTGAAGACAAGAGGACAATTTGTCAATTGATTTAACACTGGTTTTATGCACTGTAAACGATATAAGACACTGTCAATATTAATTCATGGATATAAATGTACTTCACTTTTACCATACTCGTAGATTATCCAGGTAGAAGAGGTCCGCTGTGTTTCAACTGTCCCCAATCTTTAGACCCTTCGACCTGTAGTTCTGTGAAAGTTTGTGATGAAAATGAGGTATTTGAAATTTATGACTAATATGACTAATTTTAGAACATAGCGAACCTGCAAGTGATGCATCAATCAAGTTAAAAATCATTGCTTAATTAATGATCAACGTTATTTATATTTCATATTAAAAATTCAGGACTGGAGGGGGTCAATGTTTTATAAATATAAAACAATATAGTTGACCCCTCTATAGATAGCAATTTAAACTGTCAACAATCATAATTAAATATGATATAAAGCTACTCCAAACCCGAGCTTTCATTGCAAAGATAGAGACATAAACTTTTCCTATAGATTTAAACTGCATTTGTCCAGAAAGATGTCTTGAAAACTGCTTAATTTATCTTCATGCAGTGAAATTAAAATTCTTGATTAAAGAAGTCACAACTCCATCGTACCCGTTCGTAAGATATTTTAAAGAGTTTAAAATATATTTATTATTGCAGATTGATGTCACATTTAACACAATAATTTCTTGTATTTGCATTTATATTCATGTACATGTTATAGATTTATATTGGGGAAAATGAAAGGTTATAGAAAATAGAAATAAGTATCGCTCTTTTCAAGAAAAAAAAAATTAAAATTAATACTAAATTAAACAATAAGATTTCAAAACAGGCAAAGATAGATTTTTATTTATTTTTTTTTGGCACAGATATGTCATCTGAGAGAGGAGGTTGAATTTGGCGACTCCATTTTTGTTCAATCTTGTTCTCAAAAACATGTGAGTAATTAATTAGATATAGGGTGTGATACATGGTAAAGTAACGGAAATCTACATATTATGTTTTAAAATCAAGATAATGTCTTATTCATTCTAAATACCCGACATCTGTCCAAAGTTTTTGCTACGAATTCTTATCTTAATCATAATTACTGTCTTAACATTTTTCATATTTACGTGTAATCCGACATCCTTCTTCTTTATACAAAGTTTTCCAGTACACGCAAAATTACATTAAATAGAAAAATTAATTCAATTCTGATACTCACCTACAAATTTGCAGAGAATCTCACATGTATAACGTATAATTATTTTCGCCCTGCTTTAGTCACACCATCTTACAGTTTCAATCAATTTGCCCCATTTTAAATTCGTCCAATCACAAAGTTGTTTTAAAAATCCTTATGTTTTCTTTAAATTTACCCCTTTTAGATTCTCCAGACCGTAGGTAGGGCGAAAGGGGTGGAAATAAAATGGGTGCAAAAATTTTCCTGTATACTTTAATTAAAAACTACATTTCGGCAATTACAACTGTTTGATTTTGAAAAATTGCTACTTAAGAAAAGCTGTAACTTTGACTACAATAAATATTTTTTTTTATTGAAAACACAGTAAAATCCTTTGCCAATCTATAAGCTGATTGTCATCTTTTGTGTCATATCGTAGAATTTGAAACTTAAAAATCGAATTAAAATGGTATTTATTCAATTTAATCTCCTCTGATCCTTCTTTGAAATATTTCATGAAAACAAAGTTTTGAAATTGCTCATCATTGTGTTACAAACTATAAATGAAATGTTTTGTGTTTTTTTTTCTTATAAATATAAAACAGTCAAAAACAATTGAGAAATTAGACATCCAGACCGTCAGAAATAATTCATTTTCGAACAAACATTTACATGTATTATAAGTGTGGGCTTAACAATGTATTTTTTTTTCATTTCCAGATATGTAACAGTGGAAGCCCAGACATTTTTGGAAAGAGATTAGTTGAACGCTGTCTGAGGTGCTGTGACTCTGATCTTTGTAACTTAGGATGTATGACTTAGTATTGTTTTGCTCACTTGAATTCACATTTTATGACAATGAAGATATATTTTCTCCACCATTTTTAATTATTTTTTGGAATATGAGTGCAATTTTAACATGATCAGAAGTGACAGAAAATGCTTGTTCTTATGATTTTTGTAATTGTAATATTTTTAAGGTACGGACTCTTTTCTATCAACGACTTCAACATTGACAACAACAACTACTACGTTAACAACTCCAACCACACCTTCTTCAACTACTACATCCCTGAAGTGTATGTTTATTAATATAAAAATTAGTACGTCGTTAAAAGCTTATTCACAGTTCTTGCACAGAAAAAATAAAATTAATTCAGACAAAATTTCACACATTCAATAGAACAATTTTTATTTCAATATTTATCAAAATTTTATATCCAAATGTTAATTGCAATTGATAAACGTTTTGGGTGCTTTAATAGGACATATCATGAAATCAAATGCAGTACAAACTTCGTCTTCATGTGTATTAAAGAAAAAATGTCCGCTTTCATTTTTTCAATATTTCCCCCAGTGTTTGATATTCAAGAATTAGGGCTACCTTATTCATTCAGCATGAACAATCCTTCATATTCCAATATTTACATTCGCTGTGGGTTTTTTTCTAAGTCAACTGTGAAATTGATTTGAAAACCATTTTCGTGTATACTCACGCGTAGAAATATACACGGAGAAAAGTGCGTTAACGTGACCGTCAAAATAAGGCTTCAGCGACGTTAGTAAAAGTATAACATATACGGCAGCGAGAAATTCAAATATTGAGTAAATTTTTGGTGCTTCCAAACATGTAAAATGGAAATATAAGGAATGTTTTTAAGTTAAGTGTAAATTGTTGGTGTGTGAATCACACAGACTTGCACGTAGGTATATTTTTCATGAAGCGCTAGTGCGCTTCATGAAATATGCCTAAATATACGTGACAATTCTGTGTGATTTCAACATTTCAAAATTTATATCACTTACCGCTTCTTTTTCTTTCGTTATTTTAAACTATTCGATAACTATGTCTGATCAGGACTTTACCCATCAAAAGTTTGATAGAAGAAAATATTTTATTGCCTATTTATTATACCCAAAATATGTTACCCTTTTACATGTGTAGTACAAAAAATCACAAAATTGACGCGCATTAATTTACAATATTTGTTCAATGAGAAATATAATTCAAAATATTTTACATAAACAAGATAATAATTATTGCCATTCTGACATCTAATAGAATATGATAACATTTAAAGTGATTAAAAAGAGTGAACATTTAAGTGCAAAAAGTCAAATAACCGTACCTTAGCTAAGTAAGATGCACACTGACCCCCTATTTCCCCTGTGATTTTGAGTCATAGTACATGAGAACTAATCCAAGATATACTTCTTAAAAAGTCCTTCATATAACAAATTTCACGAGTAACATACGAGTGAAATTGTGTTGCTAACATTTCATTTAACATACAAGTAAGGTGTTGTATCAACATTTTTATTTCTTTTCACATTGACTTTCATTAAAAAGAATAAAAAGATGCATTTCTCGGCACTACAGCACTAGCTATAGAATTTGGGGATTCAGATATTCCTTTAAAAAAACTAAAGTAATTTTTGTCGTTTTTTTTTTTTTTTGGTTTTTAGAAAAAAAAATATCCCTTTTCCTACTAAAATACTTAACTAGTCACACGGTTATCATTTTCACGAAGATGGCCCCGTTCTTCAATGAAACATAATCTTATGAATGAGGTACTTTAGGGATAAGATGTTTTGTTTTGAACATAGTTTCTTGATATCAATCAAAAGGATTGGAAACAAGTTCTAAATAACTTAGTGAAGTCCTCTCCCTATATAATACAATATGTCATGCAAAAAGAAAAAAAATTATACAATTGATACATGAATAAAAAGATACAATTTAATGTAATAAATCATTTAGAGAATCTACATGTTTCGTCAATAAATTTATGAACAGCAGCAAAAATACTGTTATTTATCTGCAATGGCAAATTAATATCACCACATGATAATATATTGATATCAATAGAATCTAAGTCAAGCATGAACAACTGATTAAAAAGAGTACTTCTAGCATAATAATAATTTGTGCATACAAAAAAGAAATGATACACATCTTCATTTTTTCCACATAAACATAATGGACTACTTACAATATTTCGTTTATATAAATCATGGTTAAGTATACAGTAATGTCTTAACTTGGTATGAATGATATTTGTGTATCGTTTGCCAAATGAAAAGTATGGTGGTGGAATATCAATTTTTGTTGTCAAGTTTTTTGAAATGTTTTGACTGAAACGGCTTCTCTCTTATCTGTTTTTAATAAATTCCATTGTTTTGTAGCGTCAGGTACGAATGAGTTTTTAAATAGTTCTAACCTACACCTAGGAACAATATAATCTTGTTTGTTACGGGTATTATATGTGGATACATGTTCACGCTTATTGGGGACAATATAATTCAAATATTCCGGTGCTCGTCCAGTGTGAATTTTGTACAAAGTACTCATTTTAGCAATATATCGTCTGTTTTTTAAAGTTTCCCACCCAGTTTCAGAATAAAGTGCATCTCTAGACACAAATTTAGGAAGTCCGGTTAACAATTCTAGCGGCGGTTAATTGTACTTTTTTCAAATTTTTCTGCATCATATTTCGAGCAGCCATCCCAAACAATTGAAGCATATTCAAGCATAGGTTTGAGGAATGTAATATACAAATTTGTTAAGTTTTTTCTACCCATTTTGAACTTTAACTTCTTTAGAAGGCCTAGTTTTTTTTATTGGCACTGTTTACAACTCCATCAATATATTCAGACCAACTAAGATTTTGCGACAATAGCAAACCCAAATGGCGATGGACTGGAACACACTCAAGTCTATCGCCATTAAAAAATAACTTTGGCATAGCAGAAATATTTTTCTTGTTGAAATAGACTACCTTAGTTTTAGATCGATTGAATTTGAGTAGCCACTTATTTGACCAAATTTTCAATATGTGTAAATAATGATTCAATTTGTATTCTATATCTAATACATTGTATGATGATTGTTGAAGGGAATTATCATCCGCAAACAATCTACACATTGAAATCATATTTTCAGCAACATCATTTATATAAATGAGAAATAACAGTGGACCTTAAACAGAACCCTGAGGTACACCTGCAAAATATCTTGTTTTGATGTTAACAAATCTGTGTACATAATTTTTTGAGATCTTTGACTTACATAACTGGAAAACCATTGGAGAATATCACCAGATATACCATAAGTTTGCAGTTTAAATAGAAGTCCTTTGTGCCAAACTCTATCAAAAGCCTTTGAAAGATCACAAAAAACCATACAGCAAAATTTACCTTCGTCTATGCTTTCAACAATACTATGATAATATTATGTTTCTAGTAATTGATATACAGTTGAATGACCAGGTAGAAATCCTGCTTGGTATCGATAAAATAAATCATTGATATGGAAATAATTGTACACGTGTTTAAAAATAATTCTCTCCATAATTCTGCTTACACAGGATAGTAACGATACTGGTCTGTAGTTCGAAACCACAGAGGGGTCATCCTTTTTGACAAGAGGAATCACATGGGCTAATTTCCAAAAAGATGGGGAAACTTTTTTCTGATAACGACCTATTAAATAACATAGTTAGTGGTTTAACAACAGTGAAAATAGTCGATTTAAACATTTTATGGCTAATACAATCTGGGCCAATAGCTTTATTCACGGGAAGTATTGAAATTATGTCTAATACTTCCTGTTCGTCGATTTTGATGTTGCATAGTGTGTCATTACATGTATAATACATTTGTGGTAGTATTTCATTACAATCATCAATAGATGAAATCGAAGAAAAATATAAATTTAATGCTTCAATCTTGTCTAGGTCGGAATAAGGTACTTGCAATTGTCTTAAACCGTTATCATTCAATATTTGTATCGGTAATTTTTCGTTAGAAAATTTTATATTAAATGTCTCTTTCATCAACTTCCAATATAACTTATTGTTATTTTTACTAGAATCTTCCAAATAGGTTTCTATATTATCGTAGTAGTTTGAGATGGCGTGTTTTTTTCATATTTTTGACTGAATTACGAACTTCTCTATAAGCAGCCTTATCGGATTCTTTTTTAGTTTTTTAGCTTTCTTATGAAGACTGTTTCTTTTCCTTATTGTTTTACGTAACATTGAATCCATCCATGGTTTGTCACGAGGGCGAATGGTTATAGTTTGTTCAGGTATGCATTCATGAACACAGGAAAGGAATTCCGATGTAAAATTATCTTCAGCAATGTCTACAGATTTAGCTTCGTTAATGTTTTTAGTCCAATCGCAATTTTCGATAAGAGAGTTTAGTTTCACGAAATCGGCATTTTAATAAACCCATACTTTCCGCTTATATGAACGATTATAATTTATACTAGAAGGGAGCGAGATGTAAGTTGCTCTATGGTCACTTACCGAGGCGTCTATTGTTAGAGTGCCCGATTCGCATACTTGAATATCGAAAGATGTAAGAATTGGGTCAAGAAGCGTACTGGACGTATGTGGTATTCTAGTTGGTTCATGGATACTGTTTACAAGATTGTCTGTTAAAATTATTTCGCGAATTATATGTGTTTGTGGAGCATTAAGGAGATCAGAATTCAGATCACCTGCTATTAATATTTTATCCGAGACTTCGCCTACTCTATCAATGCACCATGTGAGTTTTGTCCAAAAACTACTATCCGAGTTTGGAGGATGATATATACAACATAAAAAGTATTTGCAGGTATTTTTATCTATTTCAATCCATATACACTCAGTGTCAGAGGGTTCAAATTCCTGGCGTCTAAATGCTCGTATTTGATTTGACAAATATATCATTACACCGCCCCCGAAACAATTTCTGTCTTTTCGCAATATTGTGCCAAAACCGTCCAAATGTAAGTCATCATTATCAACTGTATGATCCAAATGAGTTTCCGTAAAAACATATTATATCAAAGTCATGAACAGAAGAATTTAGATAGTTTAGTTTGTGTCTAATGCTTCGAGTATTCAAATGTAGTATGTCAAGGACACTTTCCATTGCAGGACCCGGATTGACCTCAATATCCCCGCATATCAACAAAATAAAAGTAAAACAACTGTAAATAAAAATTAATATACACAAATTTCTGAAAAATGGCTGCCATGCCGCAAGCGAGAAGTTTGATTGTATTTTTGAGTAATTGAAATATATATACACCTGGAAAAACCAAATATGAATATGTTTTAAATGTGCCTCTGCTTGATAAATAAAATAGACCGATTGCAGCCCGGTATTGTTTGATTGAATTACCCATTATCAACCTTGTGATACATGTAGTTTATAAGTAAATGGCTGCAATCAGTTACTGCTGAAATTTTGACAAGTTTAGAAGTGTAAATTATCGACTTCTTAAATTTAGTTGCATTACTTAGATTTTGACTATATATTATGAAGTTATAAAAAATACATACAAAAATGTGAGAAAATATATAACATGAAAATAACAAAAACAGGATTAACAAAAAGTATATATACAGGGGTAATATTGCACACAAGACGCAATATGTTGAGGTAAATAAGAAAAGTAACGAACAAAATTGTAATAATGAAAGTACAAACGTTTATATGGATAAGAGTTGCATGTAGAGCGGGGGGAAAATTACAGTTAAAACTGTAATGTTGAATGTTTTTGAGCATACTACAAAATGTATAGTACATACAAAAGGAAGCTAGAAACATTAAGTTTTGGTAGTAGACTGTTGAGAATCGCAAAACGTCGAAAAAAAATAAACACTAAAATCATACCCATGTCCTGCGTAAATCAGTGAACATTTCGAGTGTTATTTGTTGGCCTTTTGAGCACACATTGTTAATCTGCCTGTTCGGGGACGTGACTAAAGGGGCAAAGGTCACTCTCTTGTAAGATTGAGTGAGTTTTTAGTTGGTTATCCCGAATACGAATTTTACCATTTTATGACCACGCTTGTTTAATGAAATGGATAAAATGTGTTACTTGCGATAACTTGCGATAACAAATTATACGATTTGACAAAAACTATTTCTTGGTCATCAGATATATTTTAGTTTGTTTCAAAATATTTACATTTCCAATGTCTTTGTCCGATATCAAATTACAAATTGTAAATGTACTTTATTTCCCCATCAATGTATTGGTGCGGTTCAAAAAAAAAAAAAAAAAAAAAAAACACGTGCAGGGCGGGACAAACAGCTAGACAGAATCAGGGCTTAATGGAGCACGTGGATTAACGGAATCAAAGCATGTAAATAAAAGGAATAACTGTCAATTTTTTTTTTATTTCATGACGATGATCAATCGATTGGCTTGCGTGATAATTTTATGCATAAACGCCTTCGGTGTTTATGCAAATTAACATACAAGCCAATCGATTGATCACATCGTGAAATCGAAAAATAAGACAGTTATTTTTCAAATATACGAGGGGTTATCAAAAAGTTCGTGGACTGAGGCTATAAAATTAGTACTATATAGTCTGAGCTTACGAAATTTTTAAAGAACATAAAACAACAAAAAATAAACAAATATTGAAAATTTTAGCTTGATACGTTCATTATTTCCCAAATTATTATGAAATAAAAACGACTTAATAGCACCCGGCGCCGTCGCCGTTTAGTTTTATGACGTCCGACAACGTCATTGTTTTTCAATGTCTGTTTTTTCTACCCCATTCACTTATTTTGATGAGATTCCCTGGAGCTGAGGAAGGACGTCAATCCGTCTTGTTTATATGACTATACAATGTCATGAACAGCGGCTTTCAATGCATATGATATTCCAAATGGATTAAGACAATGGAAGAGATTCTCACTTGATTCTGCCAGCATATTTTGCTTTTTGGAGTTCAAAATCTACAACACATGATCAACGTCATTTTTTGACGTGATTGATTTTTCACACCTTGACTTCAAATCGAAATTAACTGTGCATTCCTTTTCTCTCTGAATCTATTTTAGAAACATTAAAAACAAGTTATATTGATGCATATTATTTCTCCGTAGCCAGTTTAAACATTTTCTAGGTGTGTACCAGTTTTTCTAGGGGCAAAACTTTATAGAATGTTGAAAAAGGAAACTCCTACCCCCTTTTGACGTCATTTTCAAGGCAATATTTGTTTGGATACTCCATATAAAATTTACGATAAAATTTCATAGAACTTCCAGAATGAGGTAAAAATTTACTATTTTATGGAACAATAGTGTCCCAACACATACCTGAATTAACGGGATATTTGGATGTCAAATGTTCATACCATAATAGTTTTTCTTAGCTACAATTAGGTCGAAAAAAAAACGTCGTTTCGAGGTTGCGCCGCATGGACATACGATTGCTTACAAAAACATTACTAATTTATTAAAAAATAAAATTCATGATTTGTGATTTATTCCATAGATAGAAAAGACAATGATAACTAGATATTTTAAAATTCATTCATGTACCTAAAGCGGTTTTAATTTTCTGGCGCTACTCCACGAACTTTTTGATAACCCCTCGTATGTGTCTTTTCTGCAATAATGTTTAGATTTTTAAATGATTTATAGTGCAGTACCGGGGGATAAGAACGTTCGTGTTATCTTAAATGATTTCGATATCATCCTTTTTTCATATTTTACTGGATATTTTATTTGAAAACGACGTTAATGGTAATCTAAAAACCAAGCTCTGTGATATACGTGATGACTTTAACTTTTCTATCTCTACCGTCAACTTCCCTTACTTATGCAGCAATATTCATTCATCACCTGCATATGCAGTTTATATATCTCAGTTGATTCGATACACAAGAGCATGCTCTACATATGAAAAATTTCTAAAACGAGAAAATTATTTAAAAACAAGTTGATGAAACAAGAATATCAACGTCTCGTTTAAAGTCATCATTTCGTAAGTTGTATTGTCGAAGCAACAACCTTGTCAGCAAATACAATTTATCATTGGGTCAAACACCGACTGACGTTTTTCATGCTCATAGCTAGTCAGTTATCTATACACTGAATTGACGACGGATTTTTCCGTTATTTCCCGATCATTTTCCAAAATAAAAATAGAAATATGAAAAAGACAACAGTGTAACAAACCAGCAGACATAAGTAAAAGACAAAAACAATTCCTTATGTTGCTGTGTATTTGGCATCATAAAGATAAGTTTCTCTCGGTATTCTTTGTATCTTTGGAAGCCAAGAATAAATAGCACCAAATCAAAGTTCTTGAATTCTTATCAGTGATTGCAACACTTTAGAAATTGTCTAAGAATGCAAGTCACTGACATTGTTGATGATTGTTTATCTTTTTATATTGTCTAACCACTATAAGATCTTTAAAATATATCAAGGACACTATTCCTTCCATGATATTTACCCTAGACTCAATTTAATTTAACACATTTTTTGGTGAAGAACGAAAACGAAAATTAGACTTATCATCACCTGATTGTACGTAAATATTTGTTCTGTACATATATACAGTAGGATTTTTAAAAATCTTTTATTAGTCAAACACATTACTTTGGTACCTATTAGTCTTTCAATTAGTTTTGTTACTGTCACCGACATAGTTAGATCTGAAATTAACAACAATCGTCTAATCTACATGTATTATAAGCTTCAAATTAATTCAATCATTGCATGAGAAATTTCAATTAATTTGTTTTCATTTTTCAGACCTTGTGGATTTGTATCAATTTGTATCAATATGTTTTCATCGATTGTAATAAGAGTCACTGTAAAGTCCTCTTGTAATGTTTTAGACTCTTCGCCGTTTGATTGCTGGGAGGTCTTTCATAATGGTTATAATACCACGGGCATATACCAAATTTATCCATGGGGTACCAGTGGAAAATCAATAGATGCACTCTGTAATATGGATGTAGAACCCAAAGGCTGGACGGTATTAAATCCTTATATGTTAACTATTTTTCTAATTTAATTTTTCATAATATCGTACATGATAAATCAGGCCCCAAGACCATAAACTGAAAACAGACTTAAGTCTAAATTTTGATTTTAATATCTTCAGTTTCATTCAATTTATTCGCTTAAAATTTGTAATTGTGAAAGATATCATGACAATTTTGATTTATTACAAAAATTAATTCAAAAGTTATAAAATCAATTTGAAATTTTGACTTAAGTCTATTCTCAGTTTATGGTCATGGGGCCTGATTATCTAATACAGAAAATCTCTAAACATGTGTAGAAAGACATTGATAGTTTAAATGTTTAATGCAGAAGTTTTGTGATTGTTTTTTTTTTAAATATCAATCCCTACTAAGATGTAGTTTTTATTTAGTGTGCAATGTAATTCTTTATATGAAGGAAGCTTCCAAATATCTTAAAATTATATTTTATGTTCATGTAGATTGAATTTCTTGCACACTAATTAATCCTCTGTTGTTTGTAGGTGTTTCAATGGCGGTACCCTTGGACTGAGAATTTTACTAGAAATTGGAAGGAATATAAAAATGGATTTGGTAATGTCTCTAGCGAATTCTGGCTTGGTAAGTTTTGATAGGAAAAAATGAGGTACAGCTGAAAACCTTACAAATTAAAAGTGCATTACAAGTTTTCATGTTATTTTCACCGTACCAAACAGCATCTTTTTAATTGTTTGACACAAAACAAAATAAACATCTTATCATTAAGTGGCACTTTTTGAATGCATATGAATAGTTTTATTAAGCCGATTCTTTAGAATATTAAGTGTATCAGAGTATGATAATTACTAAAATGAATTATATTCAGCCTCTATAAATCATACCGTTTTCCCTTTTATTCATATTCACTGGATAAAGTTTATAAATATATAATAATACAAATTATTCATTATCACCATGGCATTATAAGCAACATTTAGCTACAATTTGAATGTTAAAAAAAACCAAACACATATCAAGCATTTTCAAAAACCGTCTTTGTAATACTTTAGCAAGCGATAATTTATGGAAAATCAAGAGCTTATAACTTTATATGGAAAATACTCCCCTTTATGTAGGGAAAATCAAAATATATTTCCAACTGTGAAAAGGGTTGAATTTTAGTTCCAAATCGGCCAAAAAACACCATTTGCCGTCTGCAATTTGTTCTTATTTGTTGTTTCAGGAAATGAGATCCTTCATCTTTTGACAACACCACACCGAACACTATTCTATATTGGTATTACAAGTACTTATGGCGGCTCATGGTATGAAAGATTTGACAACATGAAAATTGCATCTGAAGCTCAAAAGTACACCATTACTCTCGGACGAGCCTCTGGAACTGCTGGTTAATTAACAATATGTAGTTAAATTTAAAATTACCGGATATTTATTCATGTATTAGTTTCTGCTTCTTTATACTTTGCAATTTTTCAGGCGATCAAAGTACCAATAAATCTTCGTATCATAGCGGCACAATGGATGGAATGCCATTCTCTACATACGACAGAGACAACGATTTGAGTTCCACTTACTGTGCATCAGTTCACCAAGGAGGGTGGTGGTATAACAACTGTTACAATGTTTTTCTTAATGGTCCAAAATCAGATTGTTATTACCAGGATGTTCTTACTTTTTCAAGTGTTAATTCATCCATTCTCATGATAACGCGAATGTAGCATCCATTAGTTTAACAAATAACATCATTTTCTTCAGTATAAATGGCTCTTCTTAACATATATAAGAGGGGTCCGTTGTTTGACCTGGAGGGGGGGGGGTTAAGGTAACTTTTATTATGTATGTATGTATGTATGTATATATAGAAATTTACTATCTCCAAAAAATTAAGACAAGTATTTTGTCTTCGTGTCACTAGTTTTCCACACTTTTTAAAAAAATTTTTGTATATCTTTTCTGTTAAAATATTTCAAACTTCATAGTGTATTTACTTTTGTAAAAACAATGCATTTATTTATTAGAATCGTTTTAATTTATATTGAAACAGGTGTTTTCTGATTTTATTGTTGACGCGAGCGTGATCTTGGCAAGGAAGATATAGCTCATTTGATCGATTTTTGTTAAACTACAAATCGGCAATATATCATGAAAAAATACATACATGTATATTTAAATTTTCACGTTGACGTACATGTACTAAAATGCACATTTTTGGACAAAGACGCTGAATAGTACATCCTCAAAAATGTTAATTTGACAGTCATTATCTATTGTGGACGCTGGTCTCTTGTTCCTTATGTAACCCCCCTCCCCTCTCTAAGAAAAGAAACAAAATACATGTAAAAAATCAATAATAAGAGATTTCTTTTTAATAAAACAAATCTTTTAATTAGAAATTGTATTAAAAAATCAACTGTGTACGCATACATGAAATATCGCCGAAATCAACGAATTTTCGATTACCTACAAAGGCATGCCAATCCCCCTTATTGCTCAATGCAAATATATAGTAATAAGATCATGCTGCTACATGTATGAAACAATTATCTTATTATTTTGTTTTTTAATACATTTAATAATTCCTTTTATTTTATATGTTCTTTTTTCGGTTAAATTCTGTTCCTTTTTCCGTTCGGTCTTTTAGCAATACCCCAACATAGTGTAGTTTCACACTTTCACCGATTTCACTTTCAATGCTTCTACCAAAGAAGAACCTATTGAATCATGACCTCTCACATAATTCTTAGCAAAATATATTTTTAAAAAAATGTTCAATGAAGAAAGATTTAGAATTTTTCTCCTTTGTTTTGGTCACAGAAAACCAAGAGAAAAACGTGCGTTGTTTATGACGTCATTTCTTTGTTTTACCAATGCCGCATTTGGGCCAAAAGTCTCATGACGCCTCACATATATTTTATATTTGATCAATACCAGTTTACTATAATTAAAAAGTTTTTAACAAAATTTAGCTCATTGATTAAGTTCTAAAGAAATATACATCTGAATTGATATGAAATTGTCTTTAAATCTAATATTTAGTTAACTTTCTGCTTATCAACATTATATTGCTCATAGGAAAAAAAATGTTTATATTGTGTGTATTTTGATCGATCATCAAATAAAAATTGAATAAAACGTTTTTGTATCTTTTTGATTGATTGATTGTATATTGTCTAACACCCCACTCGAGAATTTTTCACTCACAAAAAAAACGTCACCGTATGGCGGTGAAGGGCTTCAAATTTAGAACTTTACTCATCACGTAGGGCCATTGAGCAGTGAGGGTTTATTTATCGTGCTAACGCGTACGTCTATCGTGACACGGGAACTGCGTTTTTAAGGTCATATCCAAAAGACCCGCGACTTTCACTTCTAGTGCCGAGCGCTTGGCGAACGAACAATCACTACCTGTGTTTACGTACTAGGTTTGACGCAGCGCCGGGAACGAGAACCCAAGCTTGGCCTCCCGACCATTAAGCTACCGTGACCGGTGGCTTTTTTTCTACATTAAAGAGAAATGGATAGAAATGCTTTTCTGTTTGTTTGATGTTTAAAGTCTCTCTCGAGAATTTTTCACTCAAATGGGGACGTCAACACTTGCAGGTGGAGAGCAGAAAAAATTTTCCTATACTCGGTACGTATAATTAGATTCATAGAGTAGTGAGGGATCGTGCCAGCATCTACTGCAAGACGGATCGTCGGTTTATACGGTCTCTTCAGAAGGACCGATCTCCATGTCCTACAGTGGAATTAAAACCCGTAAATGAAGGATCAACTACTTACCCCGCAACTCTGAAATAGATAATTTTATCTTCCTGATCGAACTGATGATTCAACTGTAAGGCTGATATATAATTGTAGCGGAAATATTGCGCGGATTTTTAACTATGGCACTAACAAATTAAACTGTGGTGGGGCCGCCACGTTAAACAGTCTATGTTAAACATTGAAATGTGGAGGACAACTCTTCAACTTTTCAAGCGGCGGTGTAATTATCCAATAGATTCATGTCAAACCTGATGTTCGTGTTAGTATACACGTGTCCCTAAATCACGAAATATGAACGAGTTTAATTTGGATTGGAAAGCTTTCTTGCATTTTTTCTTGAAGGGAAAAGTAAGGTAAAAAAAAATGTAATGAGATAGTTCCAAGCTCGAAGTTGTTAATTTCCTGCACCGGTCAGCTGATATAGAGGAATTGAAAATTGAAAAAAACATAACAATCTATGGGAGTTTTTAAAACCCTTCAACCTTATTAACTGAATGTTAAATTCTTCAGGAATAACTGCCGACGGCGCTGTGCGACATGGTATGCAAAAGTCAAAATGCCTGAAAACATGACCTCACTTCCATTTACAATAAAATTACAGAATGATACATAGGCAACTTAGCCACATATGATCCACATATGCATTGCCTTTCATATGAGGATCATATGTGGATCATATGAGAATCATATGTGGCTAATCATATGAGAATCATATGATTACACATATGTATATCATATGATCGTATTTACATATGATTCTCATATGAAAGGTCCTGCATATGAGAATCATATGTATATTTTGGCAGTGTTCATACGAGAATCATATGAAACTGATCATACGATAATCATATGAAACCGTTTTCACTAATTTGCCCTTGATATACTCAGGTAAAAATCATATGAATATTTTGACAGTGAACATATGAGAATCATATGAATCTGTGATCATATGAGAATCATATGAAACAGTGTTCACTCATCTGCCCTTGTTATACTCAAGTAAAATTGCAATTTTAATAATATATATCAAAAAATAAATTTAAATGTACATTAATTCAAAAGAATTTGTAAGTAATTAATTATATTTGAAGTTCTACTCTGTTTAACCCCCCCCCCTTCCCTTCTAAATAAAAACTTTCACAATTTCCCAGACAAAATTGATAAAGAATAAATTTTAATTTTAATAAATTTTAATTTTTCATTTTAAATCTTTTGGGTTTGGCTTACTTCTTAAGTAAAATTAAAATAATACCGTATTTTTCTCCGGGCCGGTTTTGTCTTTTATCAGATGAATTTATACGTCATTTTTGACGTCACTGATGCAGCAGACGTGTTGAGTGTTTGGAAAAGGCAAGTGATCTGCTAGAAATATTATTTTAAAGACTTTTGATTCATATTGTTTGATATCATTTCATTATGATTACAGGTGCATATGAACTCTCTATATACTCTTATCACTTTCATCATGCATGTAATTGTTAAATCAATGCATTTCGTAAACCTAACGTTCGTGATCTGTAAGTAATTTTGGATAAATTTGTTTCTGAAACAGAATGGATGTAAACATTACAATTTACATGTTAGGCTAAAGGCATTACTACTTTTTAAAATTTGTTTTCGTTTTATTACGTACTGATATGAAAGTGAAAGTAGAAACCTATAGGGTATATTCGATTAAGGTCAAGATCTAGTAAATGAAAGGTGCCTACAGATTTATCAAACTTGAGAAATAATTTCCTTTACTAATGCTTTACAACTTTAGCTTGGTCAAATAAGGTGTTTCGGGTCATAATTTGTAGGTAAACAAGATGAAAAACTGTATTTTAAACTGTCATTTTCAATGAAAAATTAAGAAAACCAGTCATGAGTATGGGAGTTTTTTTCGTATTCAGCAAAGGAAATGTATCCAGATTGCCTACAGTCTCTCAGAAAACGGTAATTAGTATGTTCATGGCATCTTCTTTAAAACAATGTCAAATTTGATATAGCTATCCGGTTTACTTTTCATATGATTTCAAATTGAATGACATGAAAATATCCCATTTTCTACATAATTCTGCTAAAGCCGTAAAGTACGGGAAAAAGAAAGTTGAAATTGATTATGACGTCATAATGGATCTAGCACCGAAAAATTAGTCTCAAGTTATTTACTAGATCTTGACCTTAAGCGACACGGGTTACACGAGTCACTAGAGTTGTAAATAAAACAACCTATCTTCGACACGGGTGATCAACCCGTGACGTCCCGTGTTACGCGAGTATACTCCTCAGTTTACCTGGAGTAACAGGTAAAAAAAATGGCGGGAAGTGAAGTCGCATTGTTAATGCGAAAACTGTTTCTGCATAAATTTGTCCGTAGTAGGACAGTGTTTGTATTAGAAATTTACAACGTCAATGAAAAAAGTCTGCATTATAATTTTGACATCCTTCCCTTTTTTTTAGTTTCTAGGTCAGCCTCTTAAAATTACGTTGTGTTATCATTAACAATCTTTTTTTTTTTTAAAATAAAGAAGTTTTTCCACCTTTTTTTTTTTTTTAAAAAAATCTGCCTATAATTGTTGCCCGAACCCCTGGGACCTGTTTTACAAAAGACCTTACGACTAAAACCAAAAACTTATGTTGATTATAAATTTTTGAAAATTAACTGTTTTGGAAATTGTTACCATAGAAACATTTTAAATTCTTTTCAAGAAGAATAAAATCGCAGAATTAAATTTTGGTCTTAGATGTAAGTTCTTTTGTAAAACGGGCCCCTTGATTACAAAAATGTGTTATAGATGCATATTGATTCACTTATAAGAATTATTTTTATAGATTTAACAATCGCAGCATAGATATGTCGTGTTAATTACCTTATGAAGTTAAATTATTATTATTAATAATTCAGTTTTAAGATAATTACAGGATCAAATGTGAGAGCAATTGCAGTTACATTCATATATTACAATGCAATCTTATAAATATGGAGGTCGGGTCCCCAGAACCTACCGATTCTTTGTTTACAATAAATGTAATAAGTATATAGAAATTACCTTTTCAGCCTTTAATTACAATAATAAATTCATGCGTATTTTTTCAAAAAAAACATTTTAGTTGAAATATTGAACATTATTTATACAGACTCAAAATCCACAGCCATGTAAGACCATGAAATAAACATATTAGCTCAAGTTCTTTCCAACCTGCGTCACATTTTTGGTAAAGGTATATGTCTCTCACATCCTATGACTAAAGCTATACTAATAAAAAAATGTCAGCTAGGGTACTTTTCTGACCAATTATTATACCCCGTGCAAAATGTTACGGGGGGAGAGAATACAGGCACGTAGCAGCTGGTGGAAGCGCTCCCCACACTTTTTTCCCCAAGCATCTCTTTACCTTTATAAAATTCTTCATTGAAAGACCACCGATAGCTTCCTCCCCCTTTTTGTTACAGTAAAGCCCAGTGGCGTAGCATCGTTTTTGAAAGTGGGGGGTGTAGAGGCTAACTTTTTTTAGTGTCAACTACTTTCAGTACCAATTCTAATACTTCATTTGCGGTACATCACTAAAACTGGAGGGGGGCCAACCAGGTTTTCAATTAACATTTGCTATAGTATAGGTAAGGTTGGGAAAAAAGTGGGGGGCAGGCCCCCCCCCTGGCCCCCCTGTTGCTACGCCCCTGAAGCCAAGCAAGGGTGAAGTCGTCTTGTATGAATAAATTTTGGTGCTGAGGGAATTGGGACCTACATCCCTCTCCTCTAACTAAAGAGGAGTTTCGTCTTTTTTCTCTGGCCTTGCCCCCCCCCCCCCTTCAAAAACGATGGTACGTCACAATAATATATTGACATATATGTATGTGAAGACATTCTTATTCCACTTTTTTTTATCTTAATAAGAGGAGGTATTGACTTGTTAAAAATATTGCAAGGATAAATAATCTAAAATACATGTTGTATCTGTAAAAAATACATTTTTCTGCACAAGTAATTATCTGCTTTTCTTTATTTGATTATTGGATATTGTTTGTTAATCAATTGTTTGTCCTGTTCAAACCAGATATACAG